TAACATAACCTTTCACATTACACATAGTCATTTTATCCAATGTTAATAGAAAAATATTCAACAGTGCAGCTTTAAGATCAACAAAGTGTGCTTCAAAGTCACATGCTTTATTGACCCATATATCCACCCCACACTCCCCCTTGTGAACTACATTGCACTATTTCTACTGTACCTCAGAATCTTGTCCAGTTAACATAAACACAGATTAAATTCCAAGCGAGATCCTGTCATTTTTCCTGTGAGCATTGTTTTGTTTTATGAACATCACATCCTTTAACTTATCTACAAGCATTCACCAGATCAGTGATGATAAACAAACACCCTCTACTTCAAACCATACTCTCGTATCTCCTCCCTTTCTCCCGCTGTCTCACTCTTTCTTTTTACACTCTCATGGTGGGGTCTCCACCTTAATCTGTGGACAGACCAGCAGGACTCCACAACCAAAGTCTACACCCACCTATCTTCAACCAACCTACTGCAGAACTGACTGACTCTCCTCATCTTTCACCAACCAGCTTCCTGCTCAGTCATACAATAATTTCTGTTTTTAAAAATGAAGCAAGGTTATATCAATACATTTCCTGTGCTTCCTGCTTCTGTCTACGCAGAGTGCATTTCTCATCTCAAAGAATCATTTCGAAATGTGCTTGAACAAAACAAGAATGTTGATGTCTTGATTGGAATGAAGTGGATAATCTATGTCGGGAACGTGTGTCTGTATTTTGCGCCAGGGTGTACGCATGGAATAAATGTTGTCTCTTTATGTGTGTGCGTGTGCAGTCGTGGAGTAATGGAAGCGGCTGATTGGCAAAACCATGATTGACATCACACAGAGCGAGAAAGGAACGAGCCCCTCTGACTGACAATAGCACAGCAGAGTGGGTGTTGAAGTGATGCAGAGTAGAGTCTGCAGGTCAGGGATAAAGTGGGTCGAGCACGCTGCCACACCTGGCTCTTGTCTGAAGAGCAGGTTAGTCGAGCGGCAAAAACAAAGCTCTCTGAATCAAAACTCTCTGCATGTCTACTTGTAGTTTATGTAGCCACTGCTGTGTAGAGCTTTTGCCTGCCTCTGTGGTGTTCTATGATCATCTCCACATGAGATGTGGTGGAAAAACCACAATACTGCCAAATCTTATGCAGTTCTGTTTGTGTGAGCCAAGTGCATTAAAATGGGGGAGATACAAAAGGTCAAGGAGATGTATAAGGCAATAACCGTCTCACCGCCTCATTGATTTTGATGGAACCTTCTGCAAAAACCTTGTTATCTTTACAAAGTCCCTCCAGGATGTTGCAATCACAACAATTCAACCAATCCTTAGGAATACTGTGTAACCGTTCAATTTTGTCCAATCACCACAGATTTGATCACTGTAGTTTCCCACGAGTTACGCCAATGATAGCAGTCCCCGGCATTCAACCATATGTCACCAAACAACAAGTGCCAAGGGACTGAATTATACTGACTATGATGACTTAGTGCTATAATTAACACACTAATAGCATTGTAATAGTGTACAGTATTGTGAGCTAGCAGACTGTGATGAGGTGTGATGCATTTTGGTGTGGTGCTTTGACATTTAAATTATTACGCTAAGTGTGATGATGGGAATGCTGAAGAAGATATTTGGACTGATAATGTTCTCCATACATTTGTTTGTTCTGGCATCATTTTAGTCATTAGTTGGTGATTTTAAAGATGCATGTGCTTACGTCTTTCAGGGTAAATCATTAATCTTTATCAGTTTGTAGTGTGATGAAACATTTAGCTTGAATTTAGACTTAGTCAGTTGGCTTTTGTGATTTGTTGTGATATAAGAAAGTACACTGAAATCGTGAAATTGTAAAGCTACAAAGTAAGTGATGTATTTTTTGTTTAAAAGCAACAAGAATTATGTTTTTGCCATTAAATATGAATGTGTTTCACAATCAAATTTCAATATGCAAGCAAGAGGCAGCACTAGTTAATTGTTTAAACCTGTTTACTGGTTTTTCATTCTGGTGCAGTGGAAACTAGCTGTAAACATAACACTGACATTATTCGGCAGACGCAGAGAACATTAGCATTCATTTGTTTCTGGACACCCAATGAACTCCACTATAGTTACTAACTATATCTGCTGTTTGATGCTGTGCAGATAGTATGCAGTGGGTTTTTAGAGCTTTTTCACTGAAAACAGCTGCCTCCTGCATCTGCAAACAATGCTGATGAGAGCAGTGAGGGTGAACCAGAACAGTAAAAGTTGCAGGCCATAAACCCAAAACAGTTAGCTGGAAGACATTAAAAAGCTTGGTAGAGCAGAGAGGAACAGCAGAGTTGGGTTCATCACTAAAAGTGAACCTTTTCGCAAACATGCAGCCATTTCATGCATTATTAATATAAAAAATATTGATTATAGCACCTTAAATGTCAAAAAGACTTCAGTTGCAAATTTTGAACTTTTGTCCACTGTGCCATTTTGTAAGTAATAAAAGAGAGACTGCAAGTGTGTTAGATGTTCAATGTAAAAATGACAGATTGACTGCACTCTTCCTCTGTCACTTTGTGTCATTCAACCATTGTATTTGTGTGTCTTACATCCTTCCAACTCTCACACAAACGCTTTATACAAGAGGATTCTTTAGAAGTGAAAACACAAATCAAGAAAACAAGCTCCCCTTTGTTGAGCTAATACCTGTTTGCCAGCTTCATTCACTTGTCCACTACATGCCAGGAAACACACACATTGCTTGGCATCTGTGTTGGCCTAGACTTACTCTATCATTTTTACAAAGTCTGTCTCTCTATATCCTTCTCCCTATCTCCCTCTCTGACCCAGAAGCATTTCTTCTGCCCATGGAGACTTCCACAAAAGCTAAAAAAAGACCCACTTTCCCATCTCCTATGGAGGCAAGAGAAAGGTAGAGATATGGGAATGAATGCAACCCGAGAGTGTCATTATGATGGATAATTTAAAAGGCATGTTCTGCATCTGAAAAGCCTTCCCTTGCCAAGAAGTTAAATATGCACGTATGCATTGAATATAACACATACAACATAAACACGGGCTGTTAAGAGCAGCACTTGCCTTCTCTACATTTCTACCACAGGGAGATATTACAGGAAATAGGAAATGCTTCTTCAAGGATAATGGCAATGACAAGAAACAAATCCCTCAGTGCCTGCCAATAGAAGGGTGTCTATTACACAGGAGAATTTTAGGTACGTGTGTACGTGGCAAAAAGGTGCTGTACTTCACATGAATTAGATACTGTTGCTGTGTAGTCAATTTTATGTTTTTCTGTGTTTTTTATTTTTCTTACTGTCAACAAATCTTAAAAAGACCAAAACCGACACTGTGTTAATCTGTATCTCAATGCTCTCCCACTTCTCCTCATTTTTGTGGTTCTCAGCTTGTTTCATACTGAAGTTGCCCAAAATATATAGTTTCTTTCTCTAGGCTGGTAATTTCCTGGGAACTGTAGTTTTTAGCAAATGTTACTCAAACAGGTGTAAATAGCACATTTCTTGGGGACTTTTTTTTTTACAGCATCTGGACACTGTATGTAGAATGAACTCAAAATAAACTTCATTACCATGTTCATGGTGATGAAGTAACATGGCTCATTGATGTGTTTTTATTAGTTTTTGTACAGCATTAGAGATCTTATGTTACAGAGGAATAAGCTAAACAAGGCTTTGGCTACACATGCAACACTTCTTAGTAGGTTTTGGTCTTTTTATGGGACTGACAAACTGGGCATGACATTACACCCCTTCAAGATATTTGTAATACAACTACAAAAGAGACAGACATCAGAAACTTGTTTGACAATGTATTGACAATCAGAGAAATTTCATTAAACTTAATTAAATTAATTATGAACATCTTTAATATACAGAACATCTTCTGTGTATTGTAAATATGTCTCCAGATTGTGCATTGTCAATTCTTCAAAATGGTAGCATCTACCAAGGGCCCAACAAAAACCTGCACGAGTCATCATCACAAAATTACTTCTCGCATGCAATTGACATTGGAACCTGATTTTACCCTTTTTTATGTAATAAGGTACACATCCTAACCTTTGGACATTCAGAGTACTGCAAGCTAAAATGTGAACAATTCAATATGCACAAACACAATAAAGATGGAAGTGACTGTCCTGTATTTTGTCCCTCAGGCTCTTCCTGTTAGAAGATGATGGCTCTGAATTTGAGCTGCACTCATGCAGTGTTCAGCAAATCTCCAACGAATACTGCAAAGCTAGGCTACAAGCCTCTGCCATCCGTAGCTGTCTTATTAATGTCCTCTTCCTGTTACATATGGCTGACAACCACCCTACAACAGACCAATGCCAGAAACCTCCTCCCTCTCTGAAATGATGGGGCAAAGATATTGCATGAATGAACTGAAAAGTAGCATCAAGGTTGCTGTGGCTTTTACTGACAAGTGTGAATGTTCCCCGAGGGCTATTTCATGGTGTAATGTGCTGTTGTAAAAGTGTGTGAGACGACTCTACTTGCCCTTTTCTAATGACTAAGATTACAGCTACAGTCAGTCACTGTCACTCAACACTGACTAACAGACAGAGAAAGAGAGGAAGAGAATATCTAGAGAGAAAGTGTAATCACAAAAAGAGAGATTCATATGGATTCGATATGGTCTTCGTGTGGTCAAATATATGTGTGTGTTTCTTATTGATTGCTAAATGCAAAATAACTACCATTGCCTTGAAAAACAACATCCCAAAAGGAAGAGAATGGGCTGGAGGCATTGTTTCCCTCTCTAGTTTTGTGTCTGTGACAGAAATACCAATTATTCATTGCTGGAGAACATTTCTATTCAGTGCTATTGGTATGTGGTCTAATTCTTCTTGGTTGCCTTGGTGACATGCACATCAGGAAGACAACGCAGCATCTCGCAGTGTTCCAGCCTGTTAACTGATTTCCTGCCATCCAGAGAGAGGCTCTCAACTGTGAATCAAAAGGTAATAATAAAATAAAAACAGATCCATACCTGCCAATGAGTAGAAACTCCCCAAACACGCCCAGTCTCCTCATGGCCATCAGGAGACCTCGGACAGTCATGCCCTCGCAGAAACACACCACTACGCGAGCTTTGGGAAGACGTTCGCGTAGTTTCCTCAAAAGGCGATCGTAGTGCTTCTCCCCCGCGTTACTGTAGATCTTGTCCGAGTGGGCAATGCATAAGCCTTCCTGGGAGGCCAGCTCCTTGAAAGCCTCCATGCCACTCTCCCCATAGTTTCCTAAAGGTGATAGAAAATAGACTGTTATTAAATACTGAGAACTCAGCCGGACAGGATTCTCTCCTTATTGGAATTAAACAATAAAACAATTTCCTTCTGCAATGTATTTTCAATGTCTGGTAATCCCATTTCTTAGATTAGCCTTTGTGGATACTGATAATGCATTGGCTGTGAGCTGAAGACATGGAGCATTGTTCTCTCATTGTAAGTGACATGATAAATGTTTCAGTGATGGTAAAGCATTACATGCCTTGTTACTTGAAAAAACACACTGACATTATTAAACAGCGCGAGAAATTGCTTTCAGCCATACATTCCTAATAACATCACTGATGGACAATCAATGTTATGCTTAAAGCGCACCCCTCAGCCATTACTCAGTGTGTGAAGTCCAGACTGATCTGAAGCGCTGAGCCGCTGATGAGTGTCAGAGTTTACTGGCAACTGATTGCAATCAAAGCCAGAAGGGGGTGAAGATGGCTATTCTTGTCTAACTGCACACCATCCCAATCAAGAGCCCTGCAAATCTGTTTGAGTCTAAATCTTCTATTTCCATTCGGACTGCAGTGCCTGACTAATGTGTCACGATCTGGATTGTGAAAGCCCCACGGCTCTTTAGCACGAGAGGCTGGATTACACAGACAATCCAATCACTTGTGCATGCTTGAACATGTGTCTGTGAGCGTGTGTGTTTGGATGTGCATGTTGTCAAAAGGAAATTAACAGTGCCAATCCGTAAAAATCTGGAAACATTTGTTGTGCAATTGCCTTGGTAAAAGGCCAGGTTCCTGAGGGCCTCTGAGCAACCTTCCCCTTATATTGGTGATGAAGAATGGACACTCTGTCTGCGAATGGCTTGGCTCCATAGAGCAAGGAGGACAGCAGCTGAAATAGGCATCACAGTAATGCATTTACACTGGCACACAATGGGCCCATGTGTTGGTTTTCCAATAGTCCTTTGATGATATTTTCAGTTGCCTCATTTCATTCTCCCACTGCTAAATGGAAATAATGATATCCAATTATTTTACTCTTTCCATCTAGGCTGTGAGACAGGTGGGTGGTGGTGCATTAGTTGACAGCCCATTTGACAATGACCACCAAAAAAAAACTGCTTTGAGTATTCCTACCAGACTGATGATAATCGGCACAGGTAATTTATGCAATTTCACAGCCCTTGCTGTTGCTACGGGAACAAGCTGCATTTATAACTTGTATAAGGTGGTGGAGAGGGAAAACTCATAAACTTAAGCCAGTTGTGACCATCATTTCAGAGATAACTAAAGATAGTGAAGTGGATTTACATATGACTCTTCAAAAGGTCAGGGTAAAGGCTGCATCAGACAAATTATGATGTGAAAGCTCTATATATATTTACTATGGCTCCAAACTTCTCAGCTGTTGTCTCTGACAAAACTGAACTTATAGTCAGTTTCAGGATTTATATTCACGAAATGTCTGTATGTAAAAAAATAAAAATAATAATAAACCAGTTTTGACTTGAATTTATTTTTTTGGAAAGTATCCTATTTTTAACGCTCACTGTAGCCTGTTGGGTAAATGATGTTGCCTGCAATCAAATCCATCCTTCCCCTGACTGGTCTTTCATTACTCTTAAATTATGACTTCAGCCCCAAGAGGATCCTCTTGTAGGTATGTTGAAGGTCAGACAGCTGACGCCACCTAGTTATTCCTCCAGGTACTACAGCTCCCTAACTCCCTCTCTTCATCTATCTGATAGCAACCTGTGACAAACCCCCTCTCCAACACACGACTATAATAGGACTTTCCAAAGATGTTTTACACTCCCTGTGAGTCCACAGCTCCTCAGGGGGGATCCTGGGTAATGTAGCCTGTCAGTCATAATTTGGGTGCACATCACTGACTGTGTTTCACTAAGACTTTAATGAAAAGCTACGGCCATAATTCACTTCTCAGTAATTACTCTGTCTACCCAACCCCAATCTCCCTTTTACCTCCTGTCTCCACCATAATACACAGTTGTGCTGTTCGGATGAACAAATTACCAAAAGAGTTCTCAAAAAGAAAGCCCATCATGGTATGAAATCCTCAAAACTATTATCGCCAGGGTTTCTGAGGAGATAAGACGTTTAATTGTTATGTATCTGATGAAACAGTGATGCCATTTTTCATCATCCTCCTGACCTAACCATGGAATTCATTTAACATTTCCAAATTAACACCTAAATTGTTAATGCTAAAAGGGTCCCTCATGTGTTTGCCTAGATACTGACTTTTAAAACTTGCTGTGGCGACTCTGATAGCACAGACAAAAACCTCCAGCTTTGTTTTCACACCCTAAAACATATTATAACAAAGTGCCAGGAGGAAGGAGCAGCAGTACATATATTTCTCAAAGAAACAAAAGGAGAGACGACCCAATGTTTACATACACTCTACAGTCCCTAGTGCAGGTTAGTCAGTAACTGCACACACACAGCCGTAGGATGATGCACAGGATGTGTGGGAAGATGTTTGAAGTAATGTCCACACAACCCTAAACTCCAGACAACAGCATATAAATCGTAATGAAGATACACCTACAAATGCATATGTGCGGATGGAACTACCTGCTCTAAAAAAAGCCTCAGAGTGAAAGTCTAAGTTGCTCTTAAAGGCAAAGATGGAACCTGGAAAGTTGCACTCAAAGACTAATAACATAAAATTGTGAAAGTGCAACTGTTTATGGATGGAGCCCCCAAAATCTCATATTTAGTTGGTCTCTGCATTGGAGGAAATTATTTAATAAGCCAGTGGATTCACATAAATGTGTTATTATTTCTTCAGGCTCCTCAATATATTTCAGCTTTAAATCTCTCCATCCAATGCCCAGAATCTCTATTATCTCTTGAAAAATAGACTTTTAAATATTTTCAGAATGAATTATCACAGCAAATATGTGTTTCTCTCTCAGAAAGTGTATCAATGGGAACATTGGGGACAGTGGGTAATTACAAACACCATAATGAACGATGAGGTCACTATACACCAACTACCAGAGAGCGGTTAGAGAGGTGAATGACGGGATCTCACCCTCAGTGTGCACTGCAGACACATAGGTCCAGTTGTACCGCTTGACAATGTCCAATATGGCCCGGGCCTGGAGGGTGTCTGAGGGCACGACCCTCAGGAAGTACTTGAACAGAGTCTTGTCACTCAGGTCGATGCTGGTGGCAGAGTAGGCGATCTGCGGGATGTTGAAGAGCTGCAGGAGGTTCTGCACCTGAATGGCCACAGAGCTGGATCCCGGTCCGATCACTCCGGCGATGGGCTTCTTGGAGGGTGGAGGCTGGTGGGACGGGGTGCCGTCAATGCACCATTTGGACCCGTCCTTATCATCCCGGATGGAGATGAGAGAGTCCCGGATGAACTCTATGCTCTGCTCCAGGGCCACAGAGGAGTGCCAGCAGGAGTCCCGGATCTCACAGCCCAGGCTGATGTTGGGGAGCAGGTTAGGGTCGGCGTTGATCCGGTCCAACGTGTGGAACATGGCCTCCACCCTTTGGATGCCGTACTGCTCACGGACGTCCCCGCACTTCCGCTCTGCCACTTTCTCCGCGGACGGCTGGTGGTGGACGGAGAAGAGCGCGCCGATGATCACGTCTCCGTCCATGCGAGCCACGGAGCGGGACACGGCGCGAGGGACCGCCGACCGCTCATAGATGCTGCTGCTGTGGGAGAGCACGAGGACGCGGAAGAAAAACGCGTGGAGACACAGGAGAGCGAAGAGACCCATCTTTACGCGTGCCATGTTGTGCCACATCGCGTGAGCCGTGCCAACTGTGCAGGCATACTATCCGCTGTCGGTCAATACATCCACGTTTATCCCAGCGACCACGATCTGTGAGCACGACACCCGGGGCATATCCGCGCACACCTGCAGAAGAAATAAAGACACGCTGCTGTGACATGTAGGCTGGGAGAAACCAGGCCAGATGTGCTGAGGGTTTTGTAGAGACAGTCGACTAAGCACGCATGCTCCTTCTCATCAACGCCCTGATTTACACCCCTGCCGCTGCAACAGTCCCCCGTGCCTCTCTTATATTATCGAGGTGCCTTTGAGCAAGGCACACCTGACTGATCAGTGGGCAGTGGTAGCAGCACAGGATTGCACTCCACTGGGGATTTTGCCCAAACCGTGCAGGTGGCTGGCTCTCTGAAGGAAGCAGCCAGGTACTTTTAACATGTCTCTCTCTAAAATACTGGTGTGTTTCAGTACAATCAGTCAGCACTGTGCGCGC